TTTGTAGAAATTTATTTTAAAACTAATTCTTTAATTACTTTCTAGTGAACTGTAATTCATATATACAATTGTATCTTAAAACATGTTTTTTTATTATTATTTTTAATAAATTTAGAAATTCTTAATAATATAAAAATAATAAATGATATTCCTTGTTTATAATTATAATAATGTAATATTTTATATAAATAATATAAAGATACACATTTGACCCCCTTAGTAACCTAAGTTATACGTCACTGTTAACACCTGGAAGTATCATTGACGAAGGCCAGATAGATATTATGTAGTGAAACGAAACACACAGTTAACCTATTTAGCAGAATTCAATGTTAGTAGAAGAATGTACATCGAATTATTATAGAAAATAACAATTTTACAGTAATTGACGTTTCTTCAAATGATTTTTTTGTTTCAGTAAAATTTTTGTATTTTTCATTATATTACGATGGCTGAAATATCTGAAGTACAAAGTAAAGATATTGGACAGGCAGTAATAACAGAACAGGAACGTGAATTAGCTCAAAATGCATTATTCGAATTTCAAAAAGGTTCATATACATCTTGTTTAAATTATTTAAATAAATTGGAAACTCTCAGGCCAAAGGATCTCAAAGTAATGCATAATAAGGTTGTGGTAGAATACTATAAAAGTGATTTGAAAAAAACAGAATTAATGAGAAAAAGTTTGAATGCAATATGTGGACAAATGTCTACTACAGATTTGGGCGATGCTATAGATGATGTTGAAAAATGTGTCATGAGATATAATCAAGCAGTTTTGTTATATCATACTGGGCAGTATACTGCAGCGTTACAAATTATGAATAGATTATTTGCTTATATCGAACCAATGGGTATGTATAACAAAGTTGTCTCAAATATTATGTTAATCTATTTGCAATAATGAACAAATGATTCTAAAGTTCCATTGATGTTTTAGAAGAAAGTTTAGCTCACAAAGTTTGTTCGCTTCTAATTGAATTGCATATAATAACGGAGCAACCTGATGCAGCATTATTACTGATAAATTATATTGAAAGTCAATTTATTTCAACGGATAATTCTAAGATTGCATCGGTAGATAAAGAAGGCGTAATGAAAGTTGTAAAAGAACAGAAGGAACAGAAGAAAGATAGTAATGATATAGTTACGGATCTATTTAAAATGAAGTTATTAAAATATAAAGCTAGAATATACCTTTTAACACATCAATTAAAATTATGTAAACGGGAATGGAAGACATTAGTTTCTTTAGGAACTCCAGTAGTAAGATTACACGTATATCAAAATAGCTATAATTATATTAATGTATACATATTATTTTATTTTTTTATT